CGCATCGGATCGTTTCTTATCCGGGAAAAAAAACTATTATAATCTAAAGACTCATCAAATTCCACGCTTCCACGAGTCAGAAGATCTACGAAGGCCGAACCTAACCTCCTGTTCATCCCTACTGCAAAAGAAAACGCCATCCGCAACTACTTAACATTCCAAACCCTAAATTCCCAACCATCATCCACACCTTCACGTTCACACAAATTGCATCACACCAACCCTGCGAGAATCTTCACAAAAACTGAAGCCGGAGCGAGATAAGAAACGGAGCCTACGAGACATACGATTGCAAATTCCCAGGAGCGATGTGGTGGGCCGGGTCCAGGCAAGGGCATATACAAGGGTGGCACGAGGAGGAGTCGTATAGGGAATACAAGGAACTACAGGGGCGAGTGGAGACGAGAATAGCCGGCTGACTGTAGTGGTGGCAGAAGAGGACCCGCAATGAGTTGAGAAAAGCGCGAGGCAACCATGATGACCAGCCATGAATTCAGACATATGACGTTAACTCGGACAAATCATACGCAAATCTTGCCCAAAATCGTGATCAACACTTGCGAAATGAATGAGTTGAACGTCCATCCGCAGCGGATGCGTGTTTCATTCTCGTTCAAAGGGAGGAAGCAAATCGGGTGTGAATGCTAAGAGTTCCCAAAGAAACGACTAACCATTATCAAGCAATGAGGTCCAGGGGTGCAGCATCAACAGCTTCGATCTGAGTGTGGAAGCATGCAGTTCCGTTCTTCGTTACTTGTCTCCACCATAGTTGCATTTGTTGAAGAGGGGGCCTCGAGGAGTGTTTTTTACTGTTAATGCTTGATTGTTAGCATTGCTGTTGTTTGCATCAAGTCTTCATATCAGAGGCCACTGTCATATCCCTTTCCCTTAAAATAACGAAACGGAGTACCTCGCTCGTAGTTATCCCAGCAAGTTTGATCGCAGAGCCCATGCCTTGAACTGGATAGAATATCACGGACGAGAAGAAAACTCTTGCATCTGCATCCTTAAGTCCTAATATATGCATTTTGCACTGCGTATATGGATGCGAAGGATAGGCTGCAAGTTGTTTGTGACGGACTTCGTGATTTCTTAGGACAAATTTCAATTCCATAGTCCCGTTTCTGACACAAGTATTTACCTCCAGAATGTATATAGGTTGCAGGTTGTTGCTTTTATAGTTTTGACATTCTATGTTCTAGAGTGGTTACTTCAGTGGGTTGGGCTTCTGATGAAGGTTGCAATATAACTTGGTGATGGAGATGAGTCTCTACTAGTTTCTCGATAGTGATGAAGGAATATAGGTTAAGAGCTTCTGACATGCAGATTCAAGGATTCTTGAGTTTGGGGTTCTTGATGTCGTTCTTCATCCAGTGACGCGAGCTCGCAATATGTAAAACAAATCCTAAGAGCTGGGGGTCCCAAAAAGAACTCCTTGTTGAATGGGTTCTTTTTTCTGTACAGCTTCATACAAAATTTTGGGGAGTTCAATCAAGTGAGGAGATTATGGCGTCGAGGGTGATCCAAACCAGAAACAGACATTCACTCATGGCCATATGCTCGGCACGTTCTCTCTCCTTCACCTCATTGTCGTTTCCATCAAACGTCGAACTCGCCTGATAGCCACTAAAAAGTTGGTTAGAACGGATCTAAGAGCCTTAGACACTCAATAATTTTCAACGCTGCCGTCCTGTTCCTACTCATAAATTTTTGATGCGAGGATGTAAGAGTAAGACGGATCCTCTCTTTGATTTAGGTCATTCTACACTGCAACTTCCCCGTTGCAGATCAATATTCTGCCATGGCGAATTCGTGCGACATTGATGTGCTCTATCTGGAAATTTTGCCGTAGATTGTAGAAGAGCAGGAAGTATGCCTCTGAATGGAGTAAACGAAGAGATCAATAATTTCCAGGCTATTTCTCAGCTTCATAAAAAACGCATGTACTTCAACTACATCCACTGTACTTGTAGCATGTTCTAGATCGCTGATCGATCTGAAATGAGCGTGCCCAATTTGATGCGTTGTCACAAACTCGACGGGCTTTTGTGACTGTTCGCAGGGCAACTGATGCAGTGGGGGAAGATGATAATAACTTGGGCCCATTGGACATCCATGATTTAACCATCTCCGTCATGACCAACCGCTGCAAAAAGTGAGACATTTGTAGAACAGCTCCACCCTTTGTAACGTCTGTATGAGCGTTTAGTATATTTGATCTTCAAGTGAAATCCCTGTTGTAAGATTCTCATGGGAGCTCGAGTGCTTCAGAACGAAGCTTCCATCCATTAAAATGAAGGAGGTTCAACCCAATGAACAAATTGTTCATATTCAATTTGATAGTTGCTTTAAGCATTCTTGAAGGTAGTCTGGACGATAACCGGAGATGAGTCAACTCCAGGTAGGCACGATAGGAGCTCACTGTGTGTATTAGCACATTTGATATACGTACATCCAGATGAATTCAGTACATAAGGTCATCATACACAAGACAATAACAACCACAACTAGGGGATATACATATATGAAGCCCGTGTAGCCAACATTCAGAACAAACCTGCAGCGGCACCTTCACTAACGCAGTTGCATCAAAAAAATTCTTTCTGCAAGAATATGAGCTTCAAACCAATACAACATACCCCAGATAAAGTATCAGATTTTGTCTGCTAAGACCGACAGTAAACCTTTGAAGAGCCTCTTCTGACTCTAGAAATCGGCAGCCAAACTTTGACCTATTTACAACTGCATCTATATTACTCCCACTCACGAGCCTAGTGCTCTCTATTCGGAAGCAAGTGAAGCTTCGAGACCTTGCAACTCTAGACGCCAGGCTTCTAATTTTTCGGTTTGCTCAGAACTCAATGAAGTACCTGGTGAGGAAGTTTCTTTAAGCTCCATCAATCGAATCTTCTTTTTCAAAGCTCGGATCCGCTTATCCAACGTTACATTTGCAGAATCAGCTTGTTCAGATGGATTAAGTTGCTGCCCTTCACCGGTTGTGGAAACCTTCAACGTACTGAGATGATCGGAGATATTGCTGACGCCATCACTAGCAGGAGACTCTTGACTAGATGGTGCATTCACAGTCTGTGTGGTTGACAGATCACTAGAATTAGAAGTTTCCTACTGAAAACAACAGGAAGGTTGGAAAATATATATATATATATATATATAAATCAAGCTTCAGACTTCGATGTCCTGGACAAAGTGATGGATAATGACTAAGTTCACATTAAATCGGTACTCTGCATGCAAGGATGGCCGGGTTAGTAGCACCAGCGATTTCCAAAGAGGAAATATCACAGCTCCTTCAAAAACAAGCAAATGTTACAATGAAGTTTCGAACTCTTAACAAAACTCTAAACTCTCTCCAATCTCCTTAGAAACCTTCCAGATACCCACGGAAAAAAAGAAAGAGAAAAAGAAGAATTGTGGGGTCACAACATTAACTAACATGTAAAACTTAAATTATTGAACACAATACTCAAGTTTATAATGAGACCAAAATCACTCATTGGATTGCACACACGAGTGCATGAGCATTCGTTAGAAAGCTACAAGATGTAACACCGATCATCTTGAATAAGTTTCGACTTATCAATGACGGTGCCATCAGCTGGGACAGGGATATGTAAAATCAAGTACTAGTGTTAAGTTTAAGATAGGATTAAACATTCCGTGAAAATGTATTTACATATCAAATAGACAAATCTTGTCCACTATCTTCTCGTGACTGCTAAAAGGGACAATGCGACCCTCTTAAAGCACGTCTTCCCACCTGTTGCCGCTGCTAGTTCCGAGACTCGATAACTACGTTGAGAAGGACCAAATACAATGCGAAGATTTCAGCCAGTAGGGCTATCAAACGAATTCAAACGACAAATGAAATGAAAGAGTTACCTGTTGCTTCTTCTCTTTCCTCTTCTCATTCTTCTTAGCCGCCTTCGTCTTTGGCTTTGCTACAGAAGTGGGATCATAGCCAGGGGGGACGTCAAGTCCCTTTCTAAGCTGCATTACCACAATTTCATTCAGCACCTGATTCCCTCATTCAGCACATGTTTTGCCTTCAATTTCACATTCAAGAAGCCGCGACGACGGGGCACGGAGGGATGCAGTAGGGGCATCCTAAACGAAAACAACTACTCAGTGAAAAACAATCTCTCATGTGTGCCATTTTCCACCTCGCTAACCATCAAAAGCAGAACCCTGCACCCCACAATGTCACTAAGGAAGAGGCAACAAAGAATGGCGCACATGTTCGATCCCAGATTGAACAACACGGCCTAGGTTAAGAACGAAGCACACGCCTGGGGAAAGAGCACCATTTATACGAATATGGGTAATGGGGAAAAAGGAAGAAAAGGGGAGTGAGGGGAAGAGAAGCAAGCACCTGAGCACCCTTGGGCTGGTAAATGGCGACTTCATCCTGGGGAGTGTAGCCCGCGCGGATGCGAATCTCCTTGCGCAGACTACCATCAGGGCGCCGCGTGGGAGCAATGACTCTGTCGGTGGCAACGTCCTTGTCGGCCATGGCTGGGTGCGATGCAGAGCAAGCGACACACACCCACACGAGAGCAGACTCACCTTCAGATCATGCTGCCAGGCATCGCTTCCTCAAGACCTCGTCCCCGAGCATCCAAGCGCGGCAGGCACAAACACACACACAAACCAGAAGAAGAAGAAGAAGAAGAAGAAGAAAAAACCCTCCCTCCCGCCCTCCTCGTCACTACGGGCTCGCCAGAATCCTGAATCCGCACACGGGCCGTGGGTGTCTCCAGGTCCCGGCGAGCCCCTGTCAGCCAGCCTCGGGACGCAGTTCTGTTCGTGCAGCCGCTTTTTCCCATTAATATCGCTGTCGTGGGTCCCGCACAGCTCCAGCGTCGTCGCTCAGACCCTGTCCTCAGACCTCAGACGTTGTCCTCGTCGCTCAGCACAGTCAGTGTTCGTAGTTGGATCCTCTTTGCCTGAATCTCCACCTTCTTCCAATTCGCTCTTGGTGGTCAAACGTCGGCTGAGTTTTCTGTATTCGGCTGCGTGCGAAAGCAGCTCAATTGCGTGAATCTCTGCCCGCTGCGTGCTGCCAAGTTAGAGAAGTAAGTGGGGGTTGGGAGGAAAGATAATAGTCGTCAGGTGCTTCAGGAGTTGATTTTAAGGCGATTCTTTTGTTCGATTTCTTCCTGTTCGTTCCACACTTGTATTTTCCAGCGGATTCAAATTGATGGATATGAGGCGATTTGTAAGTCAAACTGAGATTGGTGAAATTCAGCTTGACAACTTTTATTTTCCTCTCAACTATATAGGTAATAGCAGTTTGATTAGAAAATGGAAATTGGTTTCAGCTGGCTGGGGGGTGGGTGAATTTGCAAGCACATGGAACGCTCTAGGATTTCAATTTTACTCTGATACAGAACTGTTTCAGGAGAGTCTCGTGCTTCGGAGTGCAATCTTCGTAGATGAAAACATTTTTTGTCCAATGAAGCAGAGAATAGTTGTTCTGCATCAATGATTTATGTCGGTTAATGCTGAGCTACTTATTATCTTGCCTCTTGCTTCTTTCGAGCTGGTAGCAGAAGAGATCTTAGGGCTCTATGATATTACCGGGATCGCAGAAAATTTGGACCGACATAGGGCAACACTCACAGTGTCCAATAGTTACCAAACTGTACAAGTGAGCAAGTCTTTCTCACACAGACAGAGTCTGTTTTGAGAGCCAGTTACTTCGTTGGAGACGTACTCCACACTGCATGCCAAGTCACCCACAAGAGGAGCATCTTAGAACTCATGAATCTGGCTAGCAATGAAGGAGACAGCAATACTAGTGAAATAAATCAACGAGATTCTACTGCTTTGCCACATGGATTGTGGTGGCCATTGCTCGTGAACCTTGATGTGTCTTGATGTGCTTGCCCATCATCCTGATCTCTGCACCTCAGTGCGGGCTGCCACAATTTTAGCTGCTGATTGATGAAGCGTGGGTGCGACAGAATTCAGTTTCTTTGTGGCTTGATCAAATGCTCTCACGTATGCGTATACTGTACAATTTCCAAGAAGAAACAAAGAAATGATAGACACTCAGATGCTATTGGTCGTAATCGGCCGCGAAATCCTACATAATTGGAATACACAGGTTCTTCGTTAGAGTGAGAAAATGCAGCATCCTAAGATTTCAACTCACTTTCCTCGAAGCAGCATTAGATTTCTCCTTGAGACATGTCTGTTTCAACACCATTCAGTGTCAGAGCCTTTTGTAAGGAAGCAAATAACCTCACTTCTGTAGAACTAAACCAAGGCAACTAGTCTAAAGTGGGAGGCATTTGTTAACTTCCCCTGACCTCTAAATGTGCTGGTCACAGTGGTGCCAAAATAAACAAATTGCGCTTCAAGCTCCACTTTATAGTTCGGGAAACTCGCTGTGGGTCATGACAACTCGCATGATCTGCAAACACCTGCAGAAAAGAATCTGGATGAATCAGCTTCTCTAATCAAGCTTGCCTAATACATTACATTGAAACTACTAACAGTGACTTAAAAGGGAGAAATATTTAGTATAGTACACTAGTCTCCTGTGTAGAATACTATCTACTTAATTCTGACCTTACACCAAGAGTTGTGACTATTGGTGTCATACTTGTACACACAATATATTGTGTGAATTGATCATATTAACAATAAAGATGTTTCTAACATGGTATCAGAGCAATAAATTTTTTTTATCCTTACAAAGCTTTAGAAAATGCTTCACCTAGAAAGGAATTGCTGAAAATACAAACTAGATTGTAATAACAACAATAATACAATCTATTGTAATAGGAAAGGTTGATAAAGAACTTAAAGTTCTTGAAACCATGAAAAGTAATTCTAAATCTAAAAATAGAAACATACAAACAATGAGCAAATATAAAATTGAATTGATTAAGAATGAATTGATAAATAGTTTCAATTCAACTTCAAATCAAGAGTATTGAAGATGACATAGAAAGTGGACATCAACCATGTTCCCAAAATTTGATGATTCATATTTTAATATATGAAAATATAGATTAACACTAGTTTTCAAGGCTAAAAAGTTATGGTCCATAATAAGTGGTGAAGAGTATTTACATGTGGAACCAACAGTAGCTAAAGTTGCTATCAAAATTCTAACTTTACCTACCATGGGAGTAGGGAGTAAAAGCCCATGGATAGACAAGAATACCTTGTCTTTCATCATAATAAAAAATTTCCTAGAAAACAATATTATTTCACATATACAATTTTGTTTATTAGCAAATTCAACATGATAAGAATTAATAAAAATATTTGAATCACATGATGTAGTAACTAAGATATATTTAAAAGACAAATTATATACCTTAAAATGAGAAAAGATGGTAGTATTATTAAACACATACATACCTTTAAAGTACATATCGAACAATTGTTGGCAGTAGGATTAGCAGTACTAGATAATAAAGTAATTCTGATCTTAATGAAAAGTTTGCCTTTAATTTATAGATCCTTTATTAGCTCCTTGAGAAGGCAGCCTAGAATTATATTAGCATCTTTGATAACAAATTTGATCCATGAAGAAACATTCATGAAAAACATGAGTTTAACATTTGATAATAATTCAATTCTATATGTAGGCAAGAAATTTCAAAATAATGATAAAAAATATTATTTTAATAAGAATTTTAAAAAGAGTCTATAACAAAAGAATAGTACTTCTAAGCCATATGAAAAGAAAAATTTTTCTATTAACAAAAAGTACTTTTTTTGTAAAGAACTTGATCACTTAATCAAAGATTGTAGAACAAAAATAGTAATTAAAAATTATAATAATAGAAAAAAAACAAATATTATTATATAATCAAATAAATTATATGTAATAGCTCTAATAATTAAAGAAAACTCAAATTCAATGTAGTATGTGGAATTGGGAGCAACTCAACATATGTGTCATAAATTAGTAGGATTTGTTAAATACATCAAAAATGAAGATAAAGAAGTTGTCTACTTAGGAGATAATACTATAATATACATCATAGAAGGACATGATGAAGTAGATATCAAACTCATAAATAGTGATGAGAAGATCATACCAATGTATTATATATAATAGGACTTGCCTAGAATTTATTTTCTATCAAACAATTGGATAAGGCATGAGGAGGAATTTGCATAAGAACTAGAACAACTATACTTATCAATAAATTTGGTAACACCATTAGAATTTGTAAATTGAACTATGATTTATATGAATTAGTTACAATAATAATTTTAAACAAGCTTCAAATTGCAATTCTATCAATAATACAATTCAATACAGCTGATTTGTGGCATCTAAGACTAGGATATATAAATCAATAAAGATTTTAAAAAATACAAATAATGGCAAAAGAGATTAATCTCTTCAATAAAAAGAAAATTACCTTATATCAATCTCACATAGAAAGTATACAACATAAAGAAATTTTTTTTACATAAGATGCACAAAGAAGTATTTGAATTTTTAGAACTTGTACATTCTAATATTTGTGGTCCTATGCAAGTAGGCAAACATTCAGCATGTACTTATTTCATCATATTTATTGATAATCTAATAAGATATTTCTAAATATATTTGATGAAATACAAATCTGAAGCATTTGAAAAATTCATCTAATAAAAAAAATTTGTGAAAAAATAAACAAGTTTCAAAATCAAAACCTTAATATCTGATTAAAGAAGAGAATATAAATCAAATAAATTTAAAAATTTATGTAACAAAAAAGAATCAAATAAGAATAAACTATAGCTTATATATCAAAATAAAATGGTATTTTTGAAAGAAAAATAGAACTTTAATAGGAGCAATTCTTGCAATGCTTTTTTATTCAAACTTACTAATTTTTTTGAGATGAAGCAGTCTAGATTGCCACTTACCTCTAAAATAGGAGTCGTATTAAACCTATATAAGGTACCAAAACACCATTTGAATTATAGTACAAATACCAACTAAATTTATCCTATCTAAGAATATTTGGATGAAAAGCTTATGTATTCATTTCTAAAGAAATAAGAAAGAAGTTAGACTCTCATTTACAAGACGCTATCTTTCTAGGCTATTGTGAAGAATCTAAAGCCTATAGATTTATGAATATACAAAATCAGGAAATTCTCATTTCAAGAGATGTTTTCTTCAATGAAAATTTATATAATTCAAAAGCAAAATACTTACAAAAAGACAATGAAGAGATCTTAATAGACTTAAAATTATTTAAGCATCCTTCAATGACTATAAGAACTATGAGCAAAACATTCCTTGTAATCAAAGAATGTCATTATCATCAATGCTATACCTCTAAGATACCTATGTATTTAATCAACATCCAATATATAGCACTTCTCAAAATATGAGAGAACAACCTCTTTCTCACATTAATGTCATCAAAGACTTCTCTCAACTATCATTACTCAATGATAATAAGATATTACTCCTTGAATATGATGAAATCTCTTCTATATTGCAAGATTCAAATCTTCCTTCTAATTCTTGACCAACAAGAATTATTAAACCATCCACATGGTTGTTAGAATCTATACAAGGAAAAAAAGAATATAAACGCCATTATAATTGATATGAACAAGCCCACCTTGTTTCTACCATCATAAAAGCTCCACACTCAATTCAAAAAGTAATAAAAAGAGATGATAATAAAGAATGGCAAAAAACAATCAATGT